CTTGCCTCCCCTTGCGAGCCCGCCAGCGGCCGTGCCCTCCTAGAATCCTCCAGCCAGCTTGGCCAGGGGATTCTGGGCCTTGTAGTCCAAAGAAGGAACTGCTCAACTGTCAGGAGGCCGGAGAGGAAGGAAAACGTTCGGTGGCAGAACGAGAAAGTCCCCGCTGCTGTACTCGCAAAAGAGTGAGGAAAAAGCCACCTTTCTCTCTCACACACGCACGCAAGGCCTTCTCCCCTAACCGTATTACACAGAAATTTTAGTGTGGGAATATCGAAGGAGGAAGGGCTTTACTTGTTCAGTTTCTGCCTCTTCCCCCCCCCCCTTTGTGAAGTTTTAGACAGCACAAGTGGTCTGACAGAGCGCAATCCTAGCGGAGTTTTTAAAAAATCTGGGTTGGATTCCAGCCAAGAAAGTGGGTTCTGTGATGTGGATGCCCCTAAGGCTCGACACAGGAATCCTGTTGATGTATGCCCTGTTTCTGTATTTGTTTTCATGGTTTTAAGTGGAGCCCTGTCATCACAGGTCGACTCTGAGTGCAATTGATCATAAACAGAAAACCCTTTCTTCTTCCTTGAGTTGAATTAACCATGGTTTTTATATGTATACATATAGCTTCTCAATCTTTTAGATTTTATTTGGAAGCAAAAGAGCTCTTTACACCTAAATGAAAACATCTTTCGACACACCACAAAAATCGTGTGTAGCAAATTAATATCTGAACATTCATTCTCAGTGAATTGCTGAACATGTCAGTGGTTTAGGTATTTGGCTGCGCAGCCAGATTTTGGGAGTTCATTTCCCCACCCTTGATAAGGTCTGGGCTCAATGATCCATAGGGTCCCTTCCAGCTCTGTAGTTCTAAATGGTGGTGATGTAAAATGTATGAAACCCACTTGCCATAACAAAGAGTTGATGGCCATAGTGTGGTTTCAAATGGGTTTGAGGCACATTTGTGGTGGATCATGGCTATTTGTGATATGTAAACAGAATTCCCATCGTCAGTGCTAGTCTGACTTTGAAGATCAGATCCAGGAGAGGAAAAAAGGGAGCACATCTTTGCCTTTGTGCTTTGTTTGAGAGCTTCCAGAGTCATCTGGCTGACAAGGAAGGCCCAACAGATCTTGCCACCTGAAGCAAAAGGCAGCATCCTTTTGCCTACCTGGAAACACATGGGCTGGAAGTTGTACTTTTACTTCAGAAATGTCTACAAGACAGTGTCTTCCATCAGTGTCCTGAGGATAACAGACTAGTTCTGAGGGTGCAAGATAAGTATGTAACATATGTTGTTGCATCCTCCAACAGAGATGGATGTCTGGATAGGACAGGAGGAAGGCCATTTCTCTCCCCCACCCTGCTAATGCTCCCATTTTGCAACCAGATGGATTCACGTTTCCTTACAGGAACACTGGTCCTGCTGGTTCAGCAGGATTGTAAAAATGGTTTGTAAAGTCATGAAGGATCCTATGTTCTTACAAATTACAGAATATAGAGCATCCTAGCATTGTGTCTAGTTTTAGTGAACCACTTTGTCAATAAAAATACTTTAAAAGGCATTCAACTACATAGCTATTTGTACTGGATTGTGGCTAAATACAGAGGAAGAAATCAACATTCCTGAAGATTTTCTATATCTATGTTCAATCATCAGTCCAAATTCAGGCTGAAGCCAAGAAGGAGTATGAGACTGGGAATGACATCTATGAAAAAATAGAAAAGATGCCCAAGAGTAAATATGTGTCACTGGTGACCAAGGGGAAGATCATGATATTCCCAATTATTATGTATAGGTTCGAAAGCTAAACAGTGAAGAAAACTGACAGGCGAAAGAAAAGGAGAGAGAGATTAATTTGAAACGATGTGCTGGAAGATTGCTTTCCACATACCATGGACTACCAGAAAGAAAATAAATAAGTTCTATATCAAATCTGAACTTTCACTAGAAGTTGACTAAAATGAAACTATCATACTAAAATGGCTAAAATGAAGCTATCATACTTTTTCCACATCCTGAGAAGATAACACTGACTGGAAAAGTCAGTAATTGTCAGAACGCTTGAAGGCAGTCGGGGAAAAAATAAGAGTAAATATGAGATGGACTGACACAATAAAGGAAGCCAAAGGCTTAAGCTTGCAAAATCTGAGCAAAACTGTTAATCATGGGACCTTTATTATAGGGTTATTAATTATTTGTTATTTATTTATAAGGTTACCATATGTGGGAAGTGACGTGATGACACAAAACAACAGCAACAAATGTGCATCGCATCTGGATAAAGCCTAAAGTCCAAGTCAGATCAGTTAACAGTGTTCAGAATGTTTTCATTGCAAAATGAGCTTTTCCTTTACGATGACAAGTTTCAAAGCTGGACTCTAAAATAATCTTTGTTAGCAATTTAGGTTTTGAAAACATGAAAAAACAAAGTATCTTCAAACAACAGAAGCAAAAACCAATGACGACTATAATGTTCCTGAAAAATAGGGCCGGGGTGGGGTGGGGGGGGGAGAAAAGGGAATGGAGGAAGAAAGTTTGAATGACTGACAAATGCACTTCCTAATTCTGGGGCAAGTTTTATAAGGGGCTCTTCAACTGCTGGGCTTTTCTGTGAAGTGAGGATGGTGCTATGAAATAGCTAAAGTGTTCTGCCATTGTGACAGTGCTTCACTACCAAACCAAAACCAAAACCGAAAACAAACAAACAAAACAAAAAACAACAGCCCCCCCCCCGGGTTGGTTATCAAGTATCATGACTCATTATTCCTTGAACCTTTTCTTCTAAAACACTGTGCGTCCTGATCTGAGACACTTCCAGAATGTATCCTCTCATCCTCTCTCTCTCTCTCTCTCTCTCTTTTGGTATAAATCATTCTTAAAACAAGTGTAGTAAAAATGTGCACGTAATTTACACTGCTTGACAGGATTGTTCAATTAGTGCAACTATTATTATGCTGCAAACAACTTGCACAATTAAAGCTGCACCTGTGGATATTTCAACAAGGTTTTTGCCAAAAAAAAATTGTTGCTGCCAGTTCTCTTAAAAGAAAGAGAAAGGCACGTAGCAGAAAAATTCCTTCTAGCTGCATGTCTGCAATTCAGCCAAATAAGTGCCCTGCTAAGGGACTATTTGGCTGCAAATTTTATCCAGTTATGATAAAGAGAACAAAAAATGATATGTATTTCTGGATTTCTAGAAATAGTGAATGGGAAGCACCAATGTAAGATTGGCAAATCTGCACTTGAGTTTATAATTTGAGTCAATACAGTCTTGTAAACTGATATGAACAGAAGTCATCTATTTCACAAAATGCCTAACCAGCATGCAAGCCGAATCTTGTTAGTGGTGCCTATATGTGGTTTATAAATACTACAGAAGAAAAAGAGGATGAATTAATAAGGAAGGAAAAAAACTACTGAACAAGGGAAAAGGCCCTATAGGACATAATTAGATATGTATTTGAAATCAAAGTTGACAAAACTACAGTAATTAAAAAGTTGTTTGGGCTTCATTCTTTTTACAGTGTCATAGGAAAGTCAATTGTTATACACACATAGTTTCAAATGCAAATATAATGCTTATTGAATCCAAATATTTTTCTAGTTATGTATACTGTAAGCAATATAGAAATTAGATATGGCTATATCTTCATTTTTCTTAGTATCAGGTTTTGCAAACTTCTAAATCAAAAATGTCAGGGAAAAAATCAGTACATTTAGAAAGTAATCATCAGCTTGGAAAAGAGTACTCCAGATATGTGGCCTAAAAGCTGAAATTCTGGAAACCATAAATTTTCTGTTATGTGTCATCAAGTAAAAACCGATTTATAGTGATCCTGATAAGGTAAGTGAGATATTTAAGGATAGGCTTTAACAGTTACTCCCCAGTAAGTTTCCATGGTTGAGCAGAAATTCAAACTGGTCTTCTGAGTCCTAGCCTGTCACACTACCCAACAATATTCCAATAACCATCAGTTCAAAATGGTAAATAAGGAAAGAAAGAAATAGAAAGAAATAATGAATGAATGAATGAATGAATGAATGAATGAATGAATGAATGAATGAAGGAAGGAAGGAATGAAGGAAGGAAGGAAGGAAGGAAGGAAGGTCGGTCGGTCGGTCGGTCGGTCGGTCGGTCGGTTGGTTCCCATGCTCCCAAAACTGTTCATATAGAATTTATTGAATGAAACGACTCCTCTATACATCAAGATATATATGTTAACATGTGAGACCTGCAAAATTATATTATTATGCAGCATGCTATTGTTCAGGTTTCTGGCCATATGGGCAAGTCTTCTGCCAGGATATTCTGTTCCAGGCTTTCTATCCCTTCCTTGCAATGATCAGTCAGAATCCCATGCCCTCTGGAATGCAGAGTCTTTCATGTATGTACTATTTTAGGGTGATCTACTCCCACTTCTAAATTATTTTCTAAAGGGTTAAAAAACCACATCCTTTCTGCATATCTTGGAGTTTCTCTTAATATGCCAATGCCTCCCTTTTGTGCACTGATGGTACCTCTTTGATTACTAAGGAGTCCAGATGTTCAAGGCATTTTCTGAGGATTTCTTATGCTAGCAATAAAATGCTATGTTGTTATTTTGTCTTTTTCTCTTTAATGGACTTTCTCTCCTAAGAAAGAGGAGAACATGTTCTGAAGATCCCATGAAGTTCACTGGATGAGGCAGGATGATGGCATGATAAAAAGCCTCATCTGAAATCACCCTCATTTAGAGAATGATTTTATAATGTACTACATTTCTAACTGAAGTGTCCACCTCCCTTTTAAGCATGACAGACCTTTCTTTCTCTGTATGTATTAATATGTGGTATTTCAGGAGAGATATACCAGCTGAAAGTGTAAAAAAA